TATCAGTGAGTTTACGGCTTGCTGCAGGTCAGTAGCAGGCGAATGCATGCGTGGGTGCGTGAGAAGCCGGGCTTAAGTCTAGCTAACGTCCACAGCAGGAAAGAGCAATCAGCAAATCCAGAGGTTATGCAGTTATGTAGCAAATCCTCTAGGGTATTTATGGAAACAAAGCCCTTTGCTGTATCACAGACTTTAGGATAAAAACCTGTGATGAGTGTGAAGGGCAGCGAGCTCTGATAAGAACCCAACAAGCCCCACGTTCAAGGGACCAGGGGAAAAAGAGGAGCCCATGAAGGAAGGGGAGGTTGGGGAGACAGGAAGAGAATCAAGGAAAGGAGAAACCGGAAACAAAGACGGACACGTTTCAAGAAGAGAGTGATTCATCTTATCTGAAACAAAGCAGAAGGGTTCAGGTCAGATAAAGACACAAAAGCATTTATTGTCACTGGCCATTTGAAGGTCACTGGTGATCTTCACAGGAGTGTTTTCAGAGGAGGTGGCAGAAGGTGAATTATCGCTGGCTAAGGAGTGACTAGAAGATGCACTACAGGCAGCACACTGAGCTGTACTTTTAAGAAATTTGACAGAGAAAGGAGAGACAGGGAGAGAAGGCAACCCTTTGGTTACAGGACCTAAGAAGATAGAGAGGAAGTTTTATTTTAGTATGGGAAAATATTTGCATGTTTAAGGGCTGAAAGAGAAGAGCCAGCATCAAAAGGAAATTTAGAATGTATGAGAGAGAGGAGACACCTCATGGAACAAAGTCTCAGCAGGAATCCCAATGACCAGGGTACAGGTGGAAGGCTGGGTCTTGAATGGAAGCGAAAAGAGCTCATCCTTTCATATAGGGGGAAAAGACTGGTAGGGACAGTTACACATGCAGAAACTGTGCAGATGGGGAAGGGGAAGGAGTTGGGTTCCAGAATGGAAGCTAATGGTGAGCATTTGCAGTAGTCTTGGAGGAGGACGCTGTTCTGAGTGCCCAGCGAATATCAGAGACCAGGAACTTGTCACGCACCCACCGGTTGGCTAAGATGGGGATTCTCTCCAGGTTCTCAGCAGCCCAGGGAGGAGGCGTGAAGAGGGTTAGGTGGGTTGGGGATTTTCCAAGTACAGGATGACCTACCTTGGGTCCCTGTGGTCCAGGGAAGCCTTCAGGACCTGGGAATCCTTTCTGGCCAGGAGAACCAGGGGGTCCAGGAAAACCTCTCTCCCCCTGTCAAAACCAAAACAAGCCAAGAAA